GTGTTCCTCTTGCTCCTTTTGTTTCCGTGCTCTTGCTCATGTTAAGTCGGGCGTGTCCTTCTGCAGGGGGAGTATCAAAAATAGCCTGGGGCGTTTTTTTTGAAGTATTGTTTTGTTATGTTTGAGTATGTTTTGAATATTTTTAGTTGTTCGTCGAAAATCGGCCTGTAGGGGGGCATGCCCGACCTAATGCTAATGTTGCTCCCCCGTTCTTCCTGCTTCCTCCTTCATTCCCAGTCTCGTTTCTCCTGGTCATCGTGCTTCGACTGCGCCAGCCCTTCCTCCAATGCACACGGCTCCCATGGGGTCCTCTTCGGAGTTCCTCGTCTTCGATGCCACCCGTCGGCGGATAGAGAGCTAATCCGCGCAATGGGAAGGGATGGGTGCGAGGGGTGGGACGTCCGATATGGCTCGGACGCACCCCGGTTTGTCCTCCTTCTCGCTTCTCTTGCTCCTCCTCCTTCTCCTGCCTCCTCCGCATCCTCATCCTCCTCATCCTCCTCCGTCCTCCTCCTCCTTCCGCCTTCTCTGCATCCTCATCCTCCTCGTCCTTTTTTGCTTCAGCGCAGGTTTTGTCCGCAATGCCTTGGTTCTGATCGGGGATCGCCGTAATTTCTACATTCTTCACGCTTCGCCTGTCCTCACCAGCCAGTTTAGAAACGTTGCCCAGCGAGCTGACGGGAAAAGAGACGAAATGACACAGATCGTGAAGTAGAGCGGGCAACCAGGATGAACAGAAAGACCCCTGGGAGCAAGGGGGTTGCCTTGGAGGGTTTTTTTGGGGTCATCCCCAACTTTCGGGGCCGTTTTGCATCCATTTTGGAGCTCTGTTGGAGCCTTCTTGGGGGCCCTGGAGGACCTCTAGGGGCCATCTTGGAGGCGATCGATCAAACGAGGGGGGTCCCCGATATTAGCCCCCCGCCCAATGGGGCATTCCTGGGGCGCTCTTGGGGCCGTCTTGGAGGGCTCTTGGGCCCCGATTGGGCCTCTCTTGCGCTCTCTTGGTGCCACCTTGAGGCTTCAATATCGCATCGGAAGCGAATCGTATTAATTTTGGCTCAAGCGGCCATTTCGGGCCAAGAGGCCATCGTCGCTCGAGTGTCGAACATCCCAGACCTGTTCAGAAGAACCGATCGGATCATTTTCTGGCCATCACAAGGATGGATCTGAATGAGGCACTCATCTTCGGCGCCGTGGGCGTTGCCTTGTGCGCCGCGCAGCCCTCTGGGATGGTGTTCGCGGCAGTATCTGGCATCCTGCTTCTCATCCTGGGCCCGTCGTTGGTGAAGGGGGTCAAGCAGACAGTCGCCTTCTTGCTCTCGATGTCTAGATCAAAAAAGCAGACCGCGGGCCGGATCGACGGGTACACCAAGCAGTATGCTGGGGACAAGTCGGCGGGAGACCGCAACGCGGAGTACGCGACGCTCGTGAACGACTACTATGACCTCGCCACCGAGTTCTACGAGTGGGGATGGGGCACCAGCTTCCACTTCGCCGACCGCCGCAAGGGCGAGTCCTTTCAGCAGTCCATCCTGCGTCACGAGTACTACTTGGCCGGTCGGCTGGGCGTCAACAAGGGATCTCTTCTGCTTGATTGTGGTTGCGGTATTGGGGGCCCAGCACGCAACATGGCAAAGTTCACAGAAGCGAGCATCAAGGCTATCACCATCAATCAGTTCCAGGTGGACCGCGGCAACGCCATCTGCAAGCGTGATGGCCTCGACGACAAGGTTCAGCTCATCCAGGGCGACTTCATGAAACTGCCCTTTCCCGACAACCACTTCGACGGCGTGTACGCCATCGAATCCACCTGCCACGCGCCCGATCGTTCAAAAGTGTACAGCGAGATCCTGCGCGTGCTGAAGCCCGGTGGCACCTTCGCGTGCTACGAGTGGTGCCTCACGGACAGGTACGACCCCGAGAACGATCACCACAGGAAGATCAAGCGCGACATCGAAGTCGGAGACGGCCTGCCAGACTTGGTGCACACGTCGGTCTGCACGCGGGCGCTGGGCGAGGCTGGCTTCAAGGTCATCGAGGCGCGGGACATGGCCGAGGGAGGAGCAGGCGAGGGCGGAGAGCCCTGGTACATGCCCCTCATGCCCTCCTGGAACCCGACGAAGTGGCCGAGGTTCCAGTTCAACCCCCCCATGGTCCGGCTGATGCCTGTCCTCCTCCGCTTCTTCGAGCTGGTGCGCCTCGTGCCCGCCGGCACCGCGAGCACCCAGGTGATGCTCCAGGCGGGCGGCATCGGCTGCGCCCAGGGCGGCCACACGGCCTGCTTCACGCCCATGTGGCTGATGGTCGGCCAGAAGCCGAGCTGAGGGCGGCCGGACCGCAGAGCGGCGCGGCTCCGGAGGGCAAAGTCTTTCCTTGCGCGGCGCCGCTGTGGAGGGCAAGGTCTCCCCTCCCACTCTTCTTCGGCGGGCGCAGGCCGAATGGCCCGCGCACGCAGCCTCGGCGCGCGCTGCGAAGGCGGCCGTGCCGCGCCTCGCTTGTCTGCGGGGCCTGGCCGAATTCGCGCAGGCTTGCAGGCCCGTGCCTCATGCACGTCTAGTCCTCCTCCTCCGCCTCTTCCTCCTCTCTCCCACTCCTCCGTCTCCTTCTCTCCTGCTTTTGGGCGACGCGCATCAAACACGGGCCGACTGCTGGCCATTGCTTGACATAGTCTTTCTGGCACGTACAGTCGCATTGCGCATCGGTCTTCCCCATCATTCAAAACAAAATCGCATCAGAAGCGAAAGGCGATAAGGCAAACATTTGTTTAGGTGTCTGAAGGAGTTTGGCCTCTTGCGGGGTCCTGATGGGGGTTCCGAGAACACTTGGAAACGTCTTGTGGTCCTCGTCGAGCCTATTGGAGGTATGTCGGAAGATGTGCTGAACTATCTTCGGTTATGTTGAGCCATCTTGGAAGACCTTCTTGGAGCATCGGAGGCCTTTTTGGAGCCACCTTGGGCTATCTTGGCCGCTCTGACCGATCGCGGCCCCCTCAAAACCCAGCAGGGATGGGAAGGACAGGGTATGTCCCCCCGAAGAGAAGAGGGTTTTGGAAGAGGAAGTAAATATTTCGCTAGTTCACCTTAGCCCAAAGGGCTGGTGGGATTATGTTGGCTAGTGGGGCTGGGGCTGCCTTGAATCTTCAGCTGTAAGCCCGTCCCAGAGCATCTCGAGCTTCGAGACGGATATTGCTACTTCAGGTGTTCGTCCTCATCCTCGTCCTCCTCTGTTTCGTACGCGCAGTCGCCGCCAACACAGTACCCTCTTTGTGAGCACGTTTTATCGGCTGACGGTCTCGCCCCGCTCGCGCGCCGTCCAGGCGCGGGGGGTATGCAGCACTCCCACGGGCCTCATGATCCTCACGCATGGATCCGGGCTCGGCGAATCGGCACGATCGAAGCGGGTACCATGGGTCGTTGCAGGTAGGTGTTCCCCGCCGGTCCCTCATCGATTGGTTTCCCTTGTTCTCTCCTCTTCAGGGGGCGGGCGGAGATCCCATGTACTTCCAACGCCTTGCTCCTTCATCATGTGCATCCACACTTCTTCCGATCAATTGGTGTGGAAAGAATGGGGACGAAGACTGACAGCAGTTCGTGCCCTTTTCGAACAGGGCTCGCTGTCGGTGTCGTCGCGGACCTGGTCCATTTGAGCCGAGCAATTGCCCGCCTATCAGCGGCTGGCTTCGGTTTTGGACAACATGTGTTGTTAGGCATCGTACCCTTTTTCCCATACCTATGTCGGGCGTGCCGAGAAAAGTGTTGCAGTCAGATACGATCGAGGGCTATGGTCATAATTCTTGGCGGCACTGGGTTCTGGTTGGGGGCGTCGCCTCCAAGCTGCGCCTAAGGAAGTTCACGAATCCATTTCATCCTGGTGAGAGCGCAAAATAGCTTGTAAGCCAAATCTGCTGGTATCGATGTGGGGCCGATCTGGTGCCCCAGGGCGCCATGCGATGTTGGCAACAAGGTGAACAGCCCCACGTAGACTATGACTTCCCCTGGCATCCCGACGCGGAAGGAGCAGGTGAATCCACTTGAATTGCGCATGCATTCTTTCCACAACGACGTATCTAGCTGCCCGTGGCAGGCCCCGTCACCGTGCCAGCGCAGCAGGAAGCAGGTTGCGTTGAAGACCCATTCCTTGTTCAGTGCTCTGTCAGATCTTGCGCGGGTGAGGAACACCTCCTCCTGTCCGTCTCCCGCTCCTCCTCCCCCCGCCCCTCCCTCTGGGGGCCTTCCTGGGGGTCTTCTGGGGGGCCCTTGGTGCCATGGTCTCGGGTCAAGACTGGGCAACCACACAAACAAAAACGATACCTGAGGCCACCGCGCGGGCGCCGGCAGCGCCGGCAGCGCCGGTAGGACGCTCTTCAGGTCTTTCGTTTGCTTCCAGATCGACGAGGCGCACCGGGGCCGCAGATCTCTCCCGCAGAGGCTCGGCCGACCCATCGCGAGGATGCCCTCGCGGGTCTCGGGGCCGTGCCGGGCTTGCCCTGGCGGGGGGGAGCCTCGGGCAGCCCGCGGGCCTCCCGGGGGCGCGCTTCGGGGGGCAGTGCTGGCCGTCTGGGTGGCCTCTTGTGGAGCTCTCCGAAATCACCGAGCGCGCTCTACTGCTCGCAAAGTGTCTCCTCGCGAGCGTTCGACAAAAGTCGTTCTCGCGTCGATATGGTTAGTGGAGCGCAGATCCCCCGCGGCGGATGCAGGCCATTTGCGCGAAGTTGCTTTGCGAGCGGTGGAACGCGCCTGTCTACTGAAGCGTTCCCGATGGGAGCTGCAGCTGAGGAGCCTGGGGCGCACCGCAAGTTGACTTCCCGTGGGTGCTTCAAGGCGTTTCGCCGCGGAGGGCCTCGCCAGAGGCCTCTGCGGGTGTCTCCTCGGGATGCTCATTTGGGCAGCTTGGGGAGATCTCTTGTGGGATGTGGGAGCTTCTTGGGCTGCCTTTGGACGGTCTCGGGGCGTCTTACGGCCGTTTCGAGGTGGCCTTTGGATGTGTTGGAATCGCTATGGGAACAACGCGCCGGGGTGGGTCGCTACGAGGGGGGGCGACCCTACTAACACACACACACCATACCAGACAACTGACAAGCATTCGATCACGACAAGGCGCGCATTAAGCATGAAACGAACTTGCTCGCGCACATCTCTAGGCTCCTGCGTCGCAGAGTAATCATCCGACCCTGCAGGTGGAACGACCAGTGCTACAGCACGCCCCAGGCAGCGGAGTGCCAGCGAAGCCGTGGTAGAAAAGGCCTTCCACTCGTCTCGCGCCCGACCTGTAGAGATTGGTACCTGTGGCAGCCCCTGTCTGCAAGCCGCTGGCGATACTCGTGCCGTAGAGTCGAAACCGATGATAAGCACGGGCAACCTTCCCAAGGGTACCCTCGCATCCTTGTCTCCTCGGTCTTTCCTTGACAACCTTCGACGGCCAGCCCCGCTCGAAGAAGCTTCGACACGGGCGTCATGTGTATCGCGCATCCTTGTTATCAGTTTGATTGTAAGCGCTGGGCCACCTCTGGCAGCACCCTGCCCGCGCGGGCGCCCGCAGGCGACCCCTGAGGAGAGAGGAGAGGGGAGGGAGGAGGAGGGAGGAGGGAGGAGGGAGGAGGGACTAAGGAGGAGGGAGAGAGGAGGAGGAGGAGGAGGAGGAGGAGGGAGGAGGGAGGAGGAGGAGGAGGAGGAGGAGGGAGGGAGGAGGAGGGAGGAGAGGGGAGGGAGGAGGAGGAGGGAGGGAGGGAGGAGGAGGAGGAGGGAGGAGGGGGAGGAGGAGGGAGGAGGGGAGGAGGAGGGGAGGGAGGAGGAGGAGGAGGAGGAGGAGGAGGAGGAGGGGAGGAGGAGGAGGAGGAGGAGGAGGAGGAGCCAGGGCCACCCCGAGCGGGCACTCGGTCAGGCCCGTGCCAGAGGCCAGACGTCGCCCTGGCGCGGCATGGCTCGGCGGGCCTTCTCGGAAAACCCACAGAGGGCCCCCAGCCTTCTGAAGAGCTTTCTAAGCCGCCCTCCTCCTCCTCTCTCCCTTCTCCTTCCTCCTCCTCCTCCTCCTCCACCTCCTCCTCCGCCCTCCTCCTCCCTCCTCCTCTCCTCCTCCTCCTCCTCCTCCTCCTCCTCCTCCTCCTCCTCCTCTTTCTCCTCCTCCTCCTCCTCCTCGACAGGCCAGAGTGCTTCTGAGAAGCCCCGTCGCCTTCTGAGGAGGCCTGCCCCCTTCTCACTTTCCACCACTCGGCGCGCCGCCCTAACGGTGGCTGTCGCGTGCGCACGTGCCGCCTGCGGAGGTCAGGCCGAGGCCGCCGCAGTCCCCGCCCCCCCCAAGTCGAGGCTTCCCAAATGGAGTCGGAGCCGTTAGGGGTCGGACGATCGCGCCGCCTCGCCGATGCATCGGCGACGCGGCTCGATGTGGGGCCCGCTTTTCTCGACGGAGATGTCACCGATGCATCCACGATGCAGCGCGATCCTCGGAACCCAATCTGCTCCGACCGCATCTGCCGAAGAAGCAAACACTGCATACATAAGCATAAACTCTTGGCGCTTTGCGCAGATTTTCTGGGTCTACGCTGGGCCCCCGGGGCGGCGCCTCGCGCGCCGCGCGCCAGGGAGGGGTGGTCCAGCTCAGATCCGAGAAGTCTGTGCGGACCGTCAACAAGTCATGTTCATGCCGTTGGCATCGCTCGGGCGTGCGCATCTTGGAGGGGCGAGGACCATCGAGGAACATCCTGGACCATCTTGCGAAAAATACACGCGCGACAGCGAAACATGCACGGGGAGTGGACGTCCGAGCGATGGCGAGACGCGCCCCGCGAGGCGCGGCGCGGCCCAGGAGGCGGCCGAGTGGCTTCAGAGGATGGCCGCCGCGCGCGTGGCGCCCACCGCGGCCTCCTACACCGCCGCCGCGACGGGCCTCGGGCGAGGCGGGCTCCCCCCCCCCCTGCTCTGGCCTGCTGCGACCGCTGCGAGCTGCCCCCGTTCGCCGCGCCTCCTGGAGGGAGCTGACGGGGCCTGCCGGCTGGGAGGGGGAGGGGGAGGGAGACAGGAGGGGGAGCAGGAACAATCACAGTTGAAGAGGAGGTGAGGAGGAGGAGGAGGAGGAGGAGGAGAAGGAGAAGGGCCAGAGTAGACCCAGGATGCATCAACCGATGCTGCAATACACCCTCCCGTCCCAAGTCCCCTCCTCATTGGTCCATACAAGTCCTCCTTTCCACTGCGGGCGCCGCCCCGGGCGCCCCCCTTTGCATGATGAGCGGCTGGTCGGTCCGCCAGTCAGACGAGGGCGCTTGTTGTCAGCCTCCTTCCGACTGAAGGACGCCCAGGGTAGCTCCATTTTGAGAAGCACGGGCCCTCCACCCGCCATAGAAATGCAGGATATCACAGTCGTGGACGCATTCTACGGGGAAGGCCCACGCGAGAGCTCTTCAGGAGGGGCCAGTATGGCCTCCTGATGACGAGAACGCGCCCTCCATCCGTCAAAACTCGTAAGCTGTGCCGGAGGGAAATTGTTAAACCGAAGTGATACGTTTCCCCAGATCTGGAACAGTTCTGGGGGCGTTCTGAGATAGTTCAGTGTTTGCGTATTTGAAAGTATAACTTGCATCGTTTGTTTTACAACCTGTGCACGATATCGTATACATCCGTATAACAAGCTGGATGGACCCACGAACCCAGAACAAAAATATAGAAATGCGAGTCATGACAGCGTTTTCAAGACACCGGATTGGGCAACGGGCATCTGCAATGGCGAAGGTGCCGATTGCGAAATGCTGTGCTGTGCTGTGCCGTGCCGCACAGCTGGCCCAGGGCTGGCTGCAGTCTGAACGCCTGGGACGCTCCAACAGCTCTGGCTCAAGATCCGATTGTGAGCGTTTTTTGCTCATTCTTTGGCCGATCGGCGTCGGCCCTCGCACCCCCCTCCCGCCGCCCCCCTTGGAGTAGATCTTGGCCGTTTTGTTGGCACCCGTTTCGAGCCCGCGGAGTCTCCCCCATAGGACGCACGGTTCCAAACAGTCGCACTCAGCAGAGGTCCGTAGCCCGACCCCCACCCCCTCCCCCCCTTTTCCGCCCAGGGTGGAAACGCCGAAACAGAAAAAACGCTCACATGCAGTTCCGAAGCGGGACGAGACGGGGCGGGGCGCAGGGCGCACAGACGCGCCACGACAGGTGCCAGGGGCGCGTCACCAGGGGATGTGCCAGGGGACGAGCCGGGTCGCGTGGCAAAGGACGCGCCACGGAACAAGCCAGGGAGCGCGACGGAGGACGAGCCGGGGGACGTGCCACGGGGCGCGCCGAGGGACGTGCCAGGGTGCGTGCCAGGGGGCCTCACGCCAGGTGACGTCGCGAGAGACGCGCTCAGCGACGCGCCGGCGCGCCAGGGGACGCGCCACGGAACGTGCCAGGGGACGAGCCAGGCGACGCGCCGCGCGATGTGCCAGGGGAGCGCGCCACGTAACGTGTCAGGAAAGATCCGAGCCGTACGGGATGGTCAATCTACAGGAATCCGCGCGAAACAAGAAAAGATTCGAGCTCAGGAAAGGGAAGATCTCGAGCCCAAAGAGAGGGGCAATTGATAGGATTATACGTGAAACGATACATATCCGAGCCCCAAGAGAAGTGCAACCGATCGGTATCTACGAAGAGCGCAACGGACGAAGAGCCCAACGGACTCGATCCCCAAGAAATTGGCAAGCTATAGGAATGCGCGTGCAATCTGTGGGGTCACGTGTAAGCTCGGGGCGAACATGTTAGATACGACCCTGCTTGGCCAGGACGTGGACAAAAAACACGATTCCAGCTCGGGTCAGCCACGTTAGATACCCCTCTGGGTGGCCTGGACACGTGAAAACTCGTGGTTCCAGCTCGGGACCACCATGTTACATATCGAAGTGGTGCCGCCATGCGGACCCTGCCGCTGGGGCCTTCGGTGGAGCGCCATTGGGGCCGCGAGACGTGTGAGGAGAGTGCCGAAATTGGCACGGGGCCGCGATGCGGACCCTGTCACCGGGGCCTCCGCTGGAGCTTCTGATAGGGCCACGGAATGTGTGAGAGGCTTGCTGAATCTGGCGGGGGCCGCCATGCGGACCTTGCCGCTGGTGCCTTCGGTGGAGTTTTCACTGGGCCACCAAGCGTGTGAGCTGCGTGCCGGAAATTTGCACGGAATCGGTGGAGGAGGTGAGGAGGAGGTGATGAGGCGCGGGGCACGACAAAACGAGGACCCAACACCACCGCATGGTTGGGAAATCGTATTCGGCGCACATCCTTTCTATCCAGCCTATCCCGTTGTGTGCGACAAAGTTCACTCGAATCACATCCGCCCAACCCATCCCTTACCATTTGATGCTAAATATGTAATCCTGTGCGCGCTCGTACGACCCAACCTTCATCTTCCGATGTAGGACATATTTTCCGGTGCGCATCCATCCGACCCAACCTCTCCGTGCTACGCTGCAAATTCAACTCCGACATCCATCCGACCCAAGCTTCACAATCCATCCGACGGGCCTTCGGTCGGGGCTGCCCTCGCCTCCTTGGCGGGCTGGGAGTCTTCTACGGTGACATCATGGCGGAGGCGGGAGGGCACGTGCGCCGGACGTGTTCGTGCCGGGGTTCTTCCAATGGGCCGCGGAAGCGTGGCTCCACGTGTGGTGCCATGGCGTCCTGGAGCTCCCACATAGCCTGCTGGACGCCACCCTCCTTCACCCGGTACGACCAGGCCCACGCCCACGCCCACGCCAACACGCACGCCCACGCCTACACCGACGCCCGCGCCCACGCCCACGCGCCTTCGCCCACGCCCGCGCCCACGCCCACGCCCACGCCCAAGCCCACGCCCACGCCCACGTCCACGCCCACGCCCACGCCCACGCCCGCGCCAACGCCGACGCCCACTCCCGCGCCCAGGCCCACGCCCACGCCCACGCCGGCGCTGGCGCAGGCCCGTGGGGTGTAGGGGGGCGGTTCGGTTCGCATGTCGGACAAATATCAACCGATCGATACAAATTACAACCGACCTGGCCTCTTTCTCAACAGGCCAGAAAAAATAGCTGGTGCGTACCAATTTCAAGCGGCCACCCGGCCACCAAACACTTGAAATCAAGTGTTTCCAATGCTGGCAACAGGTTTTCATAATGTTGTGCGGAACCTGTGACCCCCCAACAAAAACACATCCTGGCGAAGGACCCAACCATGAGCAAGTGTGCATACCTTGATGTGGCGCCGCTTTCGGTGGGGCCCCCTTAAGAGGCCCACGAACCGTGTGAGGTGTACGCCAAAATGTAGCGGCCGTGCCATCTGGACCCTCCCACTGGGGCCACGAACCGTGTGAGGGGTGTGCCGCCATGAAGCGGCGGTGCCATGCGGACCCTCCCGTTGGGGCCTTCGGTTGAGCTCCCTCTGGGGCCACGAACCGTGTGAGTGGTGCGCCAAAAAGGCGCAACGATGCCATGCGGACCCTCCCACTGGGGCCTTCGGTGGAGCTCCCTCTGGGGACGAACTGCGTGAGTGATGTGCCCAAATGAAGCGGCGGTGGCATGCGGACCCTCCCGCCGTGGCCTTCGGCGGACGAGCCGTGTGAGAGGTACGCCAAAATGTGGCGGCGGTGCCATGCGGATTCTCCCAATGGGGCATTCGGTGGAGCTCCTTTTGGGGCCACGAAGCGTGTGAGGGGTGTGCCCGAATGAAGCGGCGGTGCCATGCGCCCCCCCCTCCCGCTGGGCCCTTCGGTGAAGGTCCCTCTGTGGCCACGAACCGTGTGACGGGTGTGCCGAAGCGGCGGTGCCATGCGGACCCTCCCGCTGGGGCCTTCGGTGGAGCTCCTTCTGGGGCCACGAATCGTGTGAGGGGTGGTGCGCCAAAAGGAGGCGGCGGTGCCATGCGGACCCTCCCACTGGGGCCTTCGGTGGAGCTCCCTCGTGGGCCACGATCCGTGTGAGGGGTGTGCCGATATGGACATGCGGGGGATCATGGTAATCACGATGAAGATTTCGATGATGATGGTGATGGCGGCACAGGGGGAGCAGAGGCAGGGATGTGAGGTTGGAGGAGGGGGCAGCGAGAGGAAGGATGAGACGCGGGGTGCTGTCTCTTCAAGACGAGGACCCAACACCACAGGATGGCTGGGGAAACATTAGCGTGGCGAAGGACCCAACCATGTGCAGTTGTGAGTACCGCAATTGTGAATATCTTTTTCGGTGGCGCTCCCTATGGGGCCACGAACCGTATGAAGAGTACGCAGAATTGCGTGGCGGGGTGCACTACACGAACGAAGCCGATATGTTTAATTGCGAGAGACTGAGTGCGGGTGAGTCTGAACGCGAGTGAGTCTGAGTGTGGATGAGTCTGCGTGCGATGAGTATGTTTGCATAAATGCGAGCATGGCCACGCCTGGTGTATATATATATATAAATACACATGAATGTGACTTGTGCACGTATGCGTGCCCCTGAGTACTCGTGGCACAGAGCGTGGCCGCCGCAGGAACCTTCCCGTATAACCCCGACAGCAGAGCCCGCACGCCGCGACGCCCATGTTGGCACGCCCCTCACGAGGATCGCGCCCGCTTCCTTCCCGTTTTTTCTGCCCTCTTTGCCCGTGCGCGCCCATGTCCAAGGCTGCGGGCGCGGCGCCGCACGGAGTCCCCGCGACGCGCGCTGGTCGCCCCGGAAGGGTCCCGGCGACGCGCGCGTGTCGTCCGTGGCGCGGAGCAAATCAGAGCTAGCTGGCTGGCTGATAGCGGGCACGGCTGTGGCCGCTGGGCAGAGCGACGATGGGGGCGAGCGAGGTTTTGGGCAGAGCGCAGCGCGGAATTCCCGCGACGCGCGTTGGTCGCCCCGAGAGGGTCCCAGCGACGCGCGTGGGTCGCCCGCGGCGCGAGGCCGAACAGTCAGACCGTCGAGAGACGGCGAGGCTCGGGCGGGCCGCTCGGCTCGGGCGGGCCGTTCCTCACGTCAAGCCTCGCGGATAAACTCGGTGAAGCTCAGCTCCTCGGGGCCGCAGCCTCCCTCCTGCGCCGCTTCGTGCGCGTGGCAAACTGCTCCAGCTGCTTCCGCAAGCCCTCCGGCGGCCCTGCCAGGAAGAACTCGATGCGCGGCGCCCGCATGAGCAGGGGGTCCTCGTGGCGCGAGGCGCGCGAGAGCAGCGCGTAGAGCTCCAGCCACCAGTCGTCGCCTTCCTTCTTGCCGTTCCCCACCACGTGGCGGCCGCAGTCCAGGCCCACGCTTGGGCGATGTCGGCCGAGGGGGCAGCGCGCCGGACAGCCGACGGCTGTCCGCGCGCCGAGAGAAGGTCTGGCTGTAAGAAGGCATGGCTGCGGACCGCTCAGGCCCAGAAGCTTTGGCCGTAGACTGCCCGAGGGGCGCCGTTCCCTCGCCCTGTCGCTTGCGAGCTGCGCCACGGCGACCTTAGGTGGAGCTCCCTGCGGGGCCACGAAGCGTGTGAGGTGTGTGTGTGTGTGCCTAAATGGGGCGGCGGCGCCATGCGAATTGTGCCATTGGGATCTTAGGTGCAGCTCCTTATGGGGCCACGAAGCGTGCGAAAGGGTGTGCCACACTGGGGCGGCGGCGCCATGCGAATTGCCCCGATGGGACCTTAGGTGGAGCTCCTTATGGGGCCACGAAACGTGTGAGGGGTGTGCCAAATGGGGCGGCGGCGTCATGCGAACTGCGCCATTGGGACCTTAGGTGGAGCTGTCTTTGGGGCTACGAAACGTGTGAGGGGTGTGCCAGAATGGGGCGGCGGCGCCATGCGAATTGCGCCGCGGCGACCTTAGGTGGAGCTCCCTGTGGGGTCACGAAACGTGTGAGGGATGTCCCAAATGGGGCGGCGGCGCCATGCGAATTGTGCCATTGGGATCTTAGGTGGAGCTCCCTCTTGGGGTCACGAAGCGTGTGAGGCGTGTGCCAAAGTGGGGCGGCGGCGCCATGCGAACTGCGCCACTGGGATCTCCGGTGGAGCTCCTTATGGGGCCACGAAACTTGTGAGGTGTGTGCCCAAATGGGGCGGCGGTGCCATGCGAACTGCGCCATTAGGACCTTATGTGGAGCTCCTGTTGGGGCACGAAGCGTGTGAAGGGGTGTGCCAAAATGGGGCGGCGGCGCCATGCGAACTGCGCCACTGCGACCTTTTGTGGAGCTCCGTACGGGGCCACGAAGCGTGTGAGGGGTATGAAAAAATGGGGCGGCGGCGCCATGCCAACTGCGCCATTGCGGCCTTAGGTGGAGTTCCGTTTGGGGCCACGAAGCGTGTGAGGGGTGTGCCAAAATGGGGCGGCGGCGCCATGCGAATTGCGCCACTGGGACCTTTGGTGGAGCCCCTTTTGGGGCCACGGAGCGTTTGAGGGGTGTGCCAAAATGGGGCGGCGGCGCCATGCAAATTGCGCCACTTGGACCTTAGTTGGGTTTCCCTATGGGGCCACAGCTTTGTGTTGGGTGGGTGAAACGCAAGGAGGAGGGAGGAGGTGGAGGAGAAAGGATTGAAGAGAACGCGAGGTACCGTCTCTTCAAAACGAAGACCCAACACCACAGGATGGTTGGGAACAGCAGCGAACTTGTGAGATGACCAAAGACAACCATCAAATGTTTTCAGGGTCCGATGCGGGAGAACCCCGCAGGAGTTCGGCCCGCCCTTTGCCACCACCCGCCTCGGATGCCGAAAGCCTTTTGATGTTTGGGTGTAGTCACGCAGGTTGCTGCTGATGTCATAATCGTGTCACAGGTTTCATGGCCCAACGTTCAAGAAACGTGTGATGATCATTGAGAAAATAATCAAGTCCAACGGCAAACCGATATAAGGTGTGACTCTCTCAAAAGACCCAAATGCTTCGCGCGAAGTGGAATGAATAGGAATCACTAGGAACCAATCGGAACCGATAGGGATGAAGCGGGATCAAAGGGAACAGTAGGAATCAATGGGAATCATTCGGAAACAAGTTGAACACATTGGAATCATTAGGAAGCAATGGGAATCAATAGGAAGTACAATGCATCAATAGAAGTCGAACGATATCTATATGAACGACCATGAACTATCAGGAACCATTCGGTATCAATGGGAATCAATAGGAATCACGGGGTATCAACAGGAATCACTAGTAATCATCAGGAACTCATCGGGACCGATTGGAATCGACTGAGATCGATGGGTTTCAATGGGAATCAAAATCAAGTAACAGGAATCCGTAGCATTCAGCACGCATCCAGAGGAAGTCCACATAATCAATGGGAAGCAATCGGAATCAATAGTGACCAATGGGTGTCACTCGGAGCTCAAAGGAATCAATATGGATGACGTGTAATGAAGAGGAAACAATCGGAACCGATAGGAAACAATGGTAATCGTTTGGGGTCCATATGCATCAATGACGACCAATCTAAATCAATTAACATCGCAATCTTTCTTTATTTCATATTTACATACACACATATATATACTATATATATACACATATTACACACTTATATCAGTGCTCTCCCTCTCTCCATAATTGTTTCCAACATGGAGTCACCGTGGGGGGGAGCCAGCATACACACATGTAATACTTATATATATCTATATATATGTTTACAAATGTGAATATAACACATATACCCAGTCCCGTTGTGTTTCACGGTCTCGACCCGATGGCTCCGACTCGAACGGTCTATCATGTGATGTGACCACGGCACATGTTGCGATGCCGTCACTGAGGCTGCGGGCGCAAGACCCAGCGCACTCGCACTCAGACCAGTTGCCCCCCCTCCCCCCCGAACTCCTCATCTCCCCGCCGCTCATCCCCCCCTCTCCCTCCCCATCCCTTCCCCTCCCCATGTGGTGCCCGCCTGGCCCAGTGCTTACATCCGCGCCCGCGGGGGCGTCGGCGGGCGGCTGCATGGTTGGCGAGACGCCTCCTCCTGCTGCGCCCCCTCCACCTCCCCTTGTTCCGCCCCCCTCTCCCCTGTTTCGCCACCCTGTTCCGCCCCCTCCCTCCCCGTCCCCCTCTCCCTACCTAGCCCCCTCTCCCTCCCTAACCTCCTCCCCCTTCGCACCCTTCGCCCCTCTGGCCCCCTCAATCCCCGCCCTGCCTCCGCTCCCGCCGTCCTCCGCCTCCACGCCCCTCCCGCCTCTCTCTCTCTCTCTCTCTTTCTCTCTCTCTCTCTCTCTCTCTTTTTGGTTCCCCCTCGCTGCTGGTGGACCTCCCTTTTGGTGCGCGGGCATGGCATCCGCCGGAGGGCGCGCGCGAGTGCTGTATTGGCCCTCCTCGGGGCGCGGGCAGGGCTTGCGCAGGGGGCGCCCGAGAGGCCTTCAGTGTCTAGAGCCTTGAGCCGGGGGTCAATTCAGACGTCGAGTAGGGGATCGGTTGCAAAATTGATGCGCCCCAACATCAGACTTGTCGTCGAATCTACGGCAAAGACGCATGGTGCTCGCAGATCTGCAAGAACTCTATGTATTTTCGTCGACTCGCTTGAAAAATCATGCCTGGGGTGAATCAATCCTCTAGTCGATCCCCCACTCGAAAACGAGGGTCAACCAGAGCGCCAGATTTTGCAGGATCTTGCAGATTCAGGGTTGGTTGCATTGACCCAGGCTGGGGCGCAGGGTCCTGCAGGATCCTGCAAAGCCCCACTGACGCGGGTTCGCACTGACCCGGGTCAGTGGCGAACCGTCCCGGCTCGCCTATAGCCCCACCAAACAATGTCCTAAGAACCTTTTGTGGTTCCCACGAAATGTTCTTGGAACATTTCTGGCTGGGACTGTCTTGTTTTAACGCATCGGTTCTATGTTCAAAGGACATTGTTTTTGTTCTTAGAACATTTTGGGGTTCTGAGAAAATTTCGTGGTATGACTATGGGAATGCCGGGACGGTCGGTCCTTGCTCAATTGACCCGGGTCAGTGGATCCCCGACGGCGGCCAAGAAGGGCCCAAGCTATGCCCCAACAAAGGGTCCCACTTTGCCCCTTCCTCCCCCCACCTTGCTCTCGTTCCCTCTCCCCCCTCCCTCCTCCCCCTCCTCCTCCCCCTCCTCCCCTCCTCCTCCCCCTCCTCCCCCTCCCCCTCCTGCCCTCATCCCCCCCCCCCCCCCCTCCTCCCCCTCCCCCTCCTCCCTCGCAACCTCCCTCCCGCTCTCCTCCCCGGCGGAGGGCTGCGTCGCGCGGCCACCCCACCCCCGCACGACGTCCCCGTCAAGGCGTCCCCGTCCCCACCACGCTTCTTCCCCCTGCCCTCCCTTCCTTCCCCTCCCCCTCCCTCCCTCCCCCTCCCCCTCCCCTCCCCCTCCCCCTCCCCTCCTTCCCCTCCCCCTCCTCCTCCCCTCCTCCCCCTCCCTCCCCCTCCCCCCCCCCTCCTTCCCCCCCTCCCCTTCCCCCCCTTCCCCCCCTCCCCCTCCTCCCTCCCCCTCCCCCTCCCCCCCTCCCCCTCCTCGTGGGGCCGCAGAGCTGCTGGCCGCTTGCCCCGAGGACCGCTGCCGCGCTCGCCCCGTCCCCCCCGGGCTCTCCATCCTCCGCCCCTCCTGGTCGCTCCTCCCCCTCCTCCGCCGCCTCCGCCTCCGCCTCCTCCTCCGCCTCCACCTCTCCTCCTCCCCCTCCTCCTCCTCCTCCTCCTCCTTCCTCCTCCTCCTCCTCCTCAATCCTCTCTTCCCCTCATTCTCTTCCCCTCATCCTTTCCCTTTCCTTCGCCAGTCGCATCCTGCATGTACGCCATGCGCTTTTCGCACTGCTGCCGATCCCCCTTCCTCCTCCAACGTCTCCTCCCCCAAGCCTTCGCCCCCTCCTTCCTCACCCTCCCTGCTTCTTCTTCGCCATCCTGCTCCTCCGCCATTCTTCTTCCCCTGCTCGACGTCCTCCTAACCCATGCCGCCACATTCCCATCCGCCCTTCTCCCCCGTCCTGCACCTCCAGGGAGACTCCCGAACAGGTGCACAGTACAAGTAGCCTTCCAGAGCTCGCGGGCCTCAGCCTGTGCAGACCTGCGAGGGTGAGGACTTCACTGAGAGACCCTGAAGGGCCCCTTCAGGGTGTCCGGGGGGGCCCTGAAGGTTCCTGGAGGGTCTCGGGAGGGGCCCCATAGTGCCTTGCAAGCGTCTCTGGAGGGACCCCCTGAGGACCTCCAGGGTCTCTGGAAGGGGGCCCTTAGGGCCCCTTCATGCCCCGTGAGGGCTTTGCAGAGGGACCTCTTAGCGCCCTTACGGGTCTCTGGAGGGCCATCCTGAGGCCCTTGAAGGGTCTTTGGCTCTGAAGGAGCCCCTTAAGGCGGCCTCAAGCGCAACCGTTGAGGGCAACGGCTGATTTTCACCTATACACTTTGTGGATTTGACTCTTCAGAATTCTCGGAGTCGCCCTTACCTCACCTACCAGGTCTCGGAGCTCACCGAGACCTCAGCTGCCAGGTCTCTGATCCCAGACAGGGCGTTCCGTTTTTTGTTTTTTTGATTGACCTTCGGTATCGGAATTATGGAAATCAAGATTGAGCAACCATGATGGCCACAGATGGCGTCGCCGTGGATGCAAAGATGACGGCGATGGCGACGAGGCACCCCTGGCGGCCGCGATCACGATCATCTACATGGCACCCCGTCACACAGACCAGCTCGCTGTGCTCTGGGCATCCCCGCTTCGTCTTGATAGTATGATGAAATGGGAAGACGCATGCACTACGGAACAATGATAATCCTTGCCCCACGGAAAGATCGATTAGGAAAATTGCCAAACCACCTCCGCCCAGAGGGGGGGGGATAAGTGGATCCCCATCCCAGTGTATGTTTCCCAGGCGCTTTCCCATTTCCCTCTCCTTTGTCCTCAGGGGGCGCGCGGAGATCTGGTCCTGCCTCCAACGCCTTCTTGCTCCATGTTCTCAGTCATTTTTCTCCTCGCCGGCCAGCACCGCTTCCACAGGAGGCGCCTGCGCGCCACCACCCTTGCTGGGCCCGGGACACAAACGGCGACGCACGCGCGAATTTTGCTCGGAAGTCCGCGCGGACCTCCCAGATCGGCGCGCGTGGGCCCCACCGCGCCGCGTTTGGCGCGCTCCGCGTGCCGGGAAGAGGGTCCCAGCGCCGATCCGAGGAACCCGCGCGGACCTCCGACAGCTGATGCTCATACGTCAGCATCTGCGGCCCGACTGGCCGGGGCCTGGGCCCCGCTGACGGCGCGTCGGCCTCACGGGCCCGGGGGGAGGCTGGCCCTCCGGCTCCACATCTCGCCTTCCCCGCAGGACCCGGGCGCGGTGGGGCCGCTCGCCGCCGGCGGGGACGGCGAGGAGCGCCACTACACCCCGGCCCAGGCCTCCGCCCTCTGCCCCTCTCTCCCGTGGTCTTGCCCTCGCCCTCCTCCCCCTCCTCGTCGCCCTCCCCCCTCGGCGTCACCGCTCGTGTCCTCCTCGCGTCCTCGGGCCCCAGGGGGCCCGCCCCTCCCCGTCCTCGTCGTCCCCCCTCGTCCTCGTCCTCGTCGTCCCCCCCCCCCTCGTCCCCCCCTCCCTCGTCCTCGTCGTCCCCCCCCCTCCCCCCCCCCCCTCGTCCTCGTCGTCCCCCCCCCTCCTCGTCCCCCCCCCTCGTCCTCGTCGTCCCCCCCTCGTCCCCCCCCTCGCCCTCGTCCTCTGGCCCCCGCGGGGCCCAGCCCCTGCGGCGGGCGCCCGCGCGCGGGGGCGCCGAGGAGTGCCACAGGGCGCCTCCGGGCCGACGCCGGGCGCCCAGGACGCTGTGGCCCATAGGGGGGGGCGCGGCCCGGCTCGCGCGGGCGGAGGCCGCCCTCTCATGGGCCCCGGGCCTTCGCCCCGAGGAGGAGGGGTTCCCCCTTCCCTGGAGGAGGAGGAGGAGGAGGACGAGGAGGAGGACGAGGAGGAGGACGAGGAGGAGGAGGAGGAGGAGGAGGAGGAGGAGGAGGAGGAGGAGAAGGACGAGGAGGAGGAGGATGAGGAGGAGGGGTTCCGAGGGAGGGGGGGCGGAGAATGAGGGGGGTGATGACTAATTAGGGGGGGTGGATCTGATGGCGGGGGCCATGATAGTTCCCCAGATTTCAGGGCGCCTCTTCTGATCTCATGACGTCCCTGGCCCCCCCGCTGGGCCGCGCACGTGCCGCCGGTGATGATTTGCACCCCCCCCCTCTTGGACGCCCCCCCTCGTTGCCGCTCCCAAGAGGGAGGGGGGGGGGGCCGCGGGCGGTTGGAGCGTCTGCTTTGGCCCGAGATGGCGCCAGGACAGCCCAAGAGAGCTCGAGGTGACCTCCAAGATCGCTCAAGATAGCCCTCGATGACTCAAGATAGCTCCTAACACGCCCGCACGAGGCTCCAAGACCGCCCAAACACGGCCCAAGGTGGCCAAGGACGCTCCGCTCCACGGGCCCCAAGGATTGTGAGAAGACGACCCAGGAGGAAGCCCCAGGGTCCAGGACCCGTCTGCATCAGGACCTGCTTCCCCTTTGTGATAGAGACCTCCAGAACGCAGCGACCCATACCCATCGGTCGGTTCGGTCGGCTGTGGGCTCCTCTGTCGCCGAGGGCGCGCAGTGCTGGGTTTGGGGGGCTGGGCCGATGCAGATCGACCCAGCGCGAGAGGTGCCGAAGAGTCACGGGGTCTGGGGTCCTGGGGCCTCGGTGGAGGTTTCGCACGATGCTTTCGGCGTGTGCGCGCCGTCGGGCCGCGGGGCCCGGCGTCGACGGTGCCCGTTCGCTGCGCGGGCCCCGCAGCTCTCGGCCCTTCCCCGGAAGCTGGCCTGTCGGTCGGGATGGGTTTCCTGAGGTCGGGGGGCGGCAAAGAGGGGGGTGATGAAGAGGGGGGTGCGGATATCATGGCACGATATTCCCCCAGATTTCATGGCGGTGCTTCGTATGTCAATACGTCCCTGGCCGCCCCCCCTGGGCCGCGCATGTGCCGCCGGCCATGTTTGCGCTACCCCCCTTGGCCGCCCCCCTCTTGGCCGCCCCCGATGATGGCCTTTAAATGCCCGGTGACAAGACTGTGTGGTGGGTCGGCAGGAGTGCGGGATGACCGCACGGTTTGTGGCCTTGGGTCGTTCTCCGAGGTTGTCTAGGGCGATTGGGGCGTCCAGGGTCACACAACGATGTCGAGACGGATCGTGCTGTCAGTTCTTTGTTTGGAGACCGCGCTGGTGTCTTGGCCCCCCCAGAGTCTAGAAGCAGCCTCCACGTTCCGCAAATGGCGAGGACATGCATCATGTTCTGTTTTCAGTTCCAGAGAGGTCAAACTTTCTGGACTCCAGGGTTCCAAAGTCGCCTCTCGGCCCTGTCCAAAGTCGCCCCTCGGGCCCTCGGCTGCACCCCAAAGGTGCCCTTAGTCGCAGTTGCCTTAATGATGTTCCAACCTACTTTAGCCCCGACCACCAGGAAGAATTTTGAGCACCAAGAAAGCACCGACGCTGGATGGTGTTCACGTGTCGGTCCCTGGGAGGCGATATTCGTTCGACATTGTTTCGATTTCTCCGGGTGATCGAAATCGTTTTTGAGATGTCGTCCTTGAGCACGATGGGAGCAACATAACACTTGCCCTGGGTGCGCGGCTTTCGGCGGGGGGGCGCTGGAGGGACCAGACCTAAGCACACAGTCCGCTGCTGCCACATCGCACGCAGCGCTCGGCAAGCCGGGTGCCACAGGCCACCCATGTTTGGGGTCACTCCGATCGGGAGACGCAAGGCGCGAGTTCGCCGGACCTCGGGTGGGCCGGCGCTTTTTGGCGGGCCCGGCCTGATGTTTGAGGGCCCACTTCTCTCGGCATGTCTGCAGCGGGAGCTCGCGTCAAGTTTCAGATTGGGTCTCGCCATTTTTCTGAAGGCTCCATCTCTCTTGGGCCTCCCAGATGGGGTCCGAGTAGATGGGGTCGAAGGATCGCGCCGCATCGCCGATACGTCGGCGGTGCGGCTCGATGTGGACCCCGCTTTTCCCACGCCGACGTTGCCGATGCATCGCCGATGCCTCGGCAATGCGGCGGGGTCTTCCGACCCCAGCTGCTCGGACCCCATCTGGGAGGCCTTGACCGTCAGACCATCCCGAGCCTTAGGACGTTCCCACCTGATTACTTACCCTTGATTGCCAGAAAGACTATCGAGCACCAGAGAAGTACCGAAACTTGAGGGCTTTCACGTGTCGCCCTGGGAGGCGATAATTACTCGTTCGACACTGTTTCGATACTTTCTCTGTGTGCTCGAGACTATTTCTGGAAGGTGGTCCTTGAGTACGATGTGAGCCTTAGGATGTTCCAACCTACTTCAGCCTTGACTACCAGAAAAAATCGAGCACCAAAGCAGTACCGAAACTGGAGGGTTTTCGCACGTCGGGCCCCGGGAGGCGCGATGATCACTCGTTCGGCACTGTTCCGAGACTTTTCTGGGTGCTCGAGATGCTCTATGGAATGGGGTCCTCGCGTTCGATGGGAGCCACATTAGCCCTTGCCCCGGGTGCGCGGCTTTCGGGGGGGGGGGGGAAGCGCACAGCACCTCGAGCCTCGAACGTCTGTGGGTCTCTCCCGCGGGCCTCGAACCTGCACCCCGAACAGGGGGGGGGCCACGCGCGGACCCTGCCCCCCAACTGGGGGGGCCCAAGGATATGCACCACCACCACCACCCTCTCCACCCCCCTCCTGCTGGAGAGGAGAGAGGGGGGGAATCGACGTGGTGGTGGTGTACATGCTCTGGGCCCCCCCCCCACCCCCCCACGACCTCTGAGGGGGAGGGTGGGCTTCGGCCCCGCTCGGGAGCTCCCGAGCGACGCGAACCCCGCCCGAGAGCCCCCGAGCCCGCGCCCGCGCCCGCGCGCCTCCCCCCCCCCGGCCGCCCCCCGCAGGTCCACGAGGGCGCGAGGCAGCGCCGCGGGCGCACGGCGCTGCACGAGGCGCTCACGGCGAACGACAGCGCCGCCGCCGCGCGCAGCGGCCCTCGGCTCCCGCCCGCCCCGACCCCTTAGGGGGGGGGGAACGGACAGAGGCACAATCATAATTTCGCAAGACCAAAGCCCCAAATCAGTGGATGGTTTGATAAGATCGATGGTGAGATCGATCGAGCGAGATGAACGGTGAGATCGATCACGAGATCGATAATGAATTGTGGGATCGAGAAAGAGATCGATAAGGAGATCGACCGGGAACCGGGGAACCCGGGAACCCAGAACCCACCTAAATCGGCCCAGAACCAATGACCAGGATCCCGGGAACCCGGAACCGCGAATCCGCGCGGACCTACGATTTTTTATGTTTACGCAGAAAACCTCCTAGATGGGGTCGGAGCAGATGGGTCGGAGGATCGCGCCGCATCGCCGATGCATCGCCGATGCGGTTCAATGTGTAGCCCGATTTGCTTCACGTCGACGGCGCCGATGCAATTCTGACGTCGACGATGCATCGCTGGTACATCGCCGATGCATCCCCGATGTATCGGCGATGCGGCGCGATCTTCCGACCCCGACCCCATCTACCAGGATGCCTCTACATAAACAAAATTTTCAGGTCCGCGCGGATGTCTCGTATCGGCGTTGGAGCCCCCTGGCGCCGCCCCTGGCGCGCTCCGCGCGCCTGGGAGGGAGGTGTCCAGCGCCGATCCGAGGAATCCTCGCGGACCTCCAAGTTGTTAGGTTTATGCCATTGTTCGTCCCCCTCGACCCCCTGGGGCCCGCGCGGAGATCGGAGGGGCATCGGGGCTCGAGGAGGAGGAGGAGGTGGAGGAGGAGGAGGAGGAGGAGGAGGGCCCGAGCTGATGGGGTCGGAGGATCGCGCCGCACGAGCCGAGATGCGCTGGCGGTGCGGCTCGGTGTGGAGCCAGCCTTCCTCCACGCCCAGCGGCGCCGATGCATCGGCGTTGCGGCGCGGTTTTCCTCGAAGAAGCTCCGAGCTGCTCCGCCGATGTCGGTCGGCGCTGGCCGGCACGGGCAGTTCGCCCGGCTTCGCCTGGATCGGCTGCGCGTAAGAGGTGGACGAAGAACAAGCCACATAAAAAGAACCCTTCGGCGCTCCGCGCCGATTTCTCGGATCCGCGCCTGGGCCCCCTGGCGGCGCTTCCGGCGCCGCCCCCCGCGCGCTCCGCGCGCCAGGGAGGGCGGGATCCAGCGCGGATCCCAGAACTTCGTGCGGAGCGCCACAAGGTTATGTTTATTGTTTTTTATTCTTGTAATCTCGGAGGCAATTCACCGAGTCGCACGCAACTCGGGTAGCCTCCCGATCAGGGCGTCGCATCAGAGACGCAACCTTGGGTTTTCCTGGGCTGTCGGGGTCTGGATGCCCCTTGACGGAAAGTCGAGTTCGGCTTCCAAGAACACCCAATTCTCTCAGGCCGACTCGCGTATACCATCGAGGGAGGTCAGCAGCAGGCGTAGAGACAGCACAGAGGTGGCTTGCGCTAACTGGTTACTCCAAGTCTCGCACGTGCTCGCAGCCTCTCCTCGCCGGTGCCTTTTGATTGGATCGGGCCACGGCCCGACTAGGGTGACTGTGCCACCTGATTGGCAGGTTACATGTTTGAGAAAACATGTGTAGCAGCGAGTCGCCACGGCGGGTTGTCCTAGGCTGTCGGCCTTGGCATGCCGCTGCCCAGCCCTGGAAAAGTAGTCAGTGCAACTTTGGCAGGTCGCGTCAAGGACTCGCCCAGGGGACCTCTCCGGGGGTAGTTTTTCATGCTGGGTCCAGTTTCTGACGGCCCCGGGGCCCAACGACGCCCCCCAGAGGCAGCCGCCAACGACAGGAAGCTGAAGGCGCCGAACACAGACAAGTCGACTGCTAAAATAGCATTACAGTCGGGGCGCTGAAGAACGAACCCTTTTCATTGGGGAGGGGCTCGTTGCTCCTTAATTGTTTTTGCAGTTTGCCTTGTGTTTTCCTGGGGCTTCCATTGGAAATCCCAGTTTAACCTATGGGGAAAGGGGCCTCGTTCCTCATTTAGGGTTCCTGAGGTCAACGCCCCGACTGTAATTTTCCAGGGCGGAGCAGGGGCGTCAACGAAACAGCTCGGGATGAAGAGCTGGCCCTCGGGATGAGGTCCAAGCCCGTGCGGGCCCACGTCGCGGACGAAACTGCGACGTCGGAAGAGAGGGAATGCCAAGGGGGGGTCGCCGCTGGGGCCCCGCTGGGTGCGTTTTTCTAGGCCTCCTGCACGGGGTCGGAGTAGGCGGGGTCGGAGGATCGTGCCGCATCGCTGATGCATCGGCGATGCATCGGCGATGCGGCTTGATGGTGGGCCCACTTCTCTCCACGCAGAAGTCGCCGATGCATCGCCGACGTCGCCAGTGCATCGCCGATGCATCGCCGATGCATCGCCGATGTATCGGCGATGCGGCGAGATCCTCCGACCCCATCTATTCGGACCCCATCTAGGAGGCCTCTAGTTTTGCCCACGCGCTGATTGAGCTCATCTAGTCTCGGAAGCCGCTTTACTGAGCACGTGGGTGTTCCGTGGTCCCCACCAGGAGGTCCAGATGAGTCCAGCCCGCAGCAGAGCTTCAAGTGGGACCAGGACAGTGTGCAGCTCCGAAATTTGGCCCAACGCTGGCAGATCGACCCTGGCTGAACGAGCGGTGCAGTACTCCCAGACGGGAGTAATTCCACGCTGCATTTCATACTCCTGTCGTGATTTCGTTTGCACCCAGCCACGGTCCATCGCGTGAGCGTGTCTGCGCCTACGTTTTCAGATTCTGCTCGTTTGCTTTTCGTGCGGCATTTTGGCCAAGGCGCCTGCCGAATTAACTTGTGCGGCGTTTAAACTTCTTTTGCAGGAAAGTGTGCGATTGCCCCTCGCCAAATTCAATCATGCCAAGCTTTATTTGTTTTCGCCCAGCGGGAAAATGGGACAGCTTTATACCCCAATTAGTAATGTTGATGGCTGGGCAAAATGCCGCGCAACTTGATTACGCTAAGAGCTTCCCTTGGGAGGCTGTTCGGGTCGTTGCGGTCTCTCCTGTGCATTATAGGCAATTGTTCAGGTCTCTTTCGGTTTGCACGGGGCCTGGGGAGTGGAGTGTTCCAGGGACCGTCTTCGAAAGGCCACGGTTATTACCACTACTACCACTACTACTACTGCTGCATTTGAGAATACTACAGTGGTCGCAGTAGCAGTAGTAGCACCAGTAG